GACAACATTAATAATTTAATACCTTCTTCTAACGACTTACAAATATTATCGGACGTTGGTGTTTTGGTTTCTGCTTTGTATCTCTTTGTCTTGTTAAAAAATAAATTAATTAATTAATATATATATTATTCTACATTCAATTTTTATTATTATTTTTTTTTATTAGAGATGAGGTTGAAATTGGAATAAAAAATGAATAAAGAAAAGGACAAAAGGAACGGTCGGTTTTGTCATTCGAATATCGAAACGAACGGCGTAGGTAGCAGTAAAATCGTCGGCGAATTTTGGACCGGAATGCGATTAGAATAAATGCAAGCAGATCCAAGCCGTTGATGCGTCCGCAAGTCGCGTCGCTGGTGGGTCCCAACAGCAATCTCTAATCGCAATCAACGGTGATTTTACGGCCGAAAATCCCGGGAATAGAGGGACGCGTGTCCGACGCAGAGGCATATTAAATCTTGGTCATGTGAGTGCACGTGTATTCTGACCATCCTGGTTGGACCCACCACGTGATAGGTAGGCTCTCACGTACATTTCATGCACACAAAAGTAATAGGAGTATATATATACTCTAACGCTACTCCATACACCACCAAACGAGCTGTCCAATAATTAGACGACACGTGAAGCTCACCTCTCACATGGTATTTACCACCGCCTATAATTTTTATTTATTTATTTTCCATTATATCGACTGTGTGTGTGTGTGTGTAACGTGTAATGTGAAATAAAATATATATTTATAATTTTGAAAAAATAAAATAAAAGTATATATTAATAATTAGGTCATGGAGACATGGAATAAGACAATGTGGAAGGATAGAAGAGTAGGATTGTATGTTGTTTATGCAAATAATTTAACAATGATTTTTTGAATTATAATTTTTATTTATTTATTTTCCATTATATCGACTGTGTGTGTGTGTGTGTGTAACGTGTAATGTGAAATAAAATATATATTTATAATTTTGAAAAAATAAAATAAAAGTATATATTAATAATTAGGTCATGGAGACATGGAATAAGACAATGTGGAAGGATAGAAGAGTAGGATTGTATGTTGTTTATGCAAATAATTTAACAATGATTTTTTGAATTATTACTGAATTATGAAGACGCATGTGATGACTGATGAGACCACAGCCAAAATTAGTACTACAAGACACTAACAATCACTTTTATTATAAAAATTAGGGAAATGATTGGTTGTAAATTGTGATCCAATGTGGAAAAAAAAACAAAATTTTGATCCAATGCAAATATTGGTATATGGAATACTTGGAACAATTTTATTTTAGGCGAATTGAATTGTGAGAGTAGTTTGATAAGTGAGTAGCATATTTGCATAACCTCCTCCAAGAAAAAAAAAAAAAAATTAGAAGGAACGAAAATAATTTTTTTATAAACATCACAAAATCTTTAAATTTCATAAATGATTAACTATATGGATTAAAAATAGACATATGTTAATTGGTGTCTAATTGAAAAAAAAAATTAATTTAAAATTTGAACTAAATTTTTTTGGCACCAATTTGTGAATGCTAATTTATGGACTTAATTTCAATTGGACTAACGTTGTTGAAAAGATATAATTAAAGCACCGTCCATATGCCTATATGAACATGTATATGTATCTACATTTATATGAACGAGATAGGTGTGATACTTGTTTGGAGCACGTGCAACATTAATGTTTATTAAGTAGTTTTGAGAAAATATTAAGATAGTACATTAGTAAACTCTGAATGAAAGGTTTATTCGCTGTTCGAACGGTGTATGTGTGCATCTCTCAACAGCTTAAACCTCGGTTTATTGAATATTTTCCCGAGTCACACATATGTAACATAAGAACAACTTCACCAGTCGAATTGGGTGTGTAGTGATAGCCTTGTTGGTAAGGGCGTTGTGCTTGTGGCCAAATGGGTCAGGTTCGATTCTCCATCTCATATATATGTTAGTTTTTTGAAGAACTAAGTCAGTATTTTAGAATCTCTAAATTTTAACTATAGCGTGTACTCCACGGGTGTGTTGGTATGAAAAAATGTAAAATTTATTATTTAAAAAAAGGAAATGGCAATTATTTTGGGACAGACCAAGCATGACATTTTTTTTTGGGATAGATGGAGTATGTCATACAAAAAAAAAAATTTTAAATAATTCAATATTTATTATAGATTATAAAAATTAAAACAATATAGGGAAGAGTAAAAAAAAAAATGCAAAAAAAACTAATTTATGAAATTTTGTTTAGCCAAACAGGCCCTTGAAACCCTGCTACAGAACTTCTGACCCTGCCTGTTTTAAAAAGTCAACATTTGCAACTGGGCCCGAATGCAGAGCGCCATAAGGGTCGCCAAAAACGGCGACCCATTACCGGATTCAATTTTTTTGGGCCCAAAAGCAGCCAGCCCATTGGAGAGAAAAAAATCGCCAAACAAGTGGTTGGGCTGGTGGAAACCCTTGCGTCTAAATGTCAGCCCAACAAATTCCGCGAAGTTTGACAGCTTAGACCATTTTTTGATTGGGCTAAGAAGTCCAGCCCACACAATGAACACCACTCAGAGTCTCAGACCCTCACGCACAATCAAGCACCCTGGGCATTGTCTGGGCCTAGAATGGGCCAGAGCCCAAACCAGGAGTTAAGAAACTAGACTTGAGCTTACAAATCCACTGAAAAAAGTTAAGAACAAGACCTTGGACCGCTCAAACATATCACCGACTCCACAGAGCTCGCCGACTACCGTCAACAGAAGGGCAAAGAGTTTGAAGACCTAATACACCGCCAACGATGGAACATAGACGTCTGGATCAAGTACGCCCAGTGGCAGTGGGAAGAGTCCGAGAAGGACTTGGATCGGGCTCGCTCCGTTTGGGAACGAGGCCTAGACTAGACGTGGATTCCCGCAACCACACGGTGTGGTTGAAGTAGGCCGAGGTGTAGATGAGGAACAAGTTCATCAATCAGGCCCGAAACGTTTGGGACAGGGCTGTATCATTATTGCCGAGTTTGAGATGAAGAATGGGGAGATTGGAAGGGCGGTGGATAAGTTGGCCGATGACGAGGGGGAGCAGTTGTTTGTGGCTTTGGTATGGTGCACCATATCTCCAGCTCAAACAAACATGTTTTTCTCATTGAATACCCATAATTAAAGCACCGTCCATATGACTATATTATTAACATGTATAGCTACATTTGTATGAAAGTGATAGGTGTGATACTGTTTATTTGGTGTTCCAACTCTCTGTATTATTTCTGCATATTTGGAGTTGATAAGCCACTCTTGGTGTGGATTAGTGCTGATAACCAAATTGTGGCATTACGATTAAAACACCTTGTAGCACAAAATAACGTGAAAATGTGGGTATTAATATACCCACGCTAATTTATTGTTATGGAACAGGTATTACATAACCCAGCCCCACATGGTACATAAATGTCAGCCCAACCAAGTAAACATTTTTGGTGAAGCCTAAAAGTGGGATGGGGTGGGTTGGGTTGGGTTGGGGAAAATTTCAAGTCACACCGAAACACCCAGACAAGGACATCCTAGGGCTGCAGATTGAGCTCAAACTCAACTCGAGGCCGCGGCCTCTGCTCTGTGGTCAATGGTGGGTGGAGCCACCACCATCGTGGCCATGCATATCCATATCAATTGACATGTATCTGTTATAGTCTAACGTGTTTGAAATATGAAATTTTTGGTACTTTCTGGAATCTAAAGGTCTTCTTCTCCCCCACTTTTTTGGTCTTCGAAAATGTCTTTTTATATTTGGTTCTGGTTCATGACTCAATTTACATCTATTGTTAAATAAAAAATAAAATACTTTCTCAGTACAAGATTTAATCAATCGAGCAGCTCTTTTGGTGGTGGTCACCATTTATTTTCTACTTCAAGAAGAATTTTAGAAATATAGACGGCAATGGAAAGAAAATTAAACTGGTAATTGGTTTGCTCCCCTTTGTCCTAGGGAGCCCGGCAGACTTTGAGCCTTCACACTAATTAACTCCTACTCTTAGGCTCCGTTTGTTTGGAAGTAAAATATTTTTCAAATAATATTTTTTTATTTTCTGGTATTTGGTTGTCGTAAAATATTTATAAAGAAAAAAAAAATATTATAATTTGACAAAAATAATTTATTCATAAATTTTCGACAAGTTATTTTATATGTCCCGCCCGATGGACTAGACCTCAACCTCGACGTAGACCTTTACCAAACACCAAAAAAGTAAAAATAAAAGAATATTTTACCTGAAAAAAATATATATATATTTTCTAAAAAGAATATTTAACATCGAAACAAACGGAGCCTTGACATTCTGGCCATGAAAAGGAAAAAAAGGGAGTAGACCATATGATGTTACCTTTGGCACTATTTGTGATAAAAGGGGGGTTGCTCTCGAGTATTAAAAAAAAAAAAAAAAAACGATAAAACCACCAACAGCACAATGTATGTTTGAGAGCATCAAATTAGTGCATGGAATTAAAATAGGATTAAACTTGGGTACTCCCAAAAAAAACTAGGGCTATTAGATGATTTATAAATTCAGACCGTTAATAATTAACCTAAAACTAGAAAAGCCAAAATATTTAAATCATCTAAAACTAGAAAAACCAGAATAATTCAAGCTGCAATCAGATAACCCCTCTTCTGATCCTAAGTCCCTGACAATTTTAATAAAAAAAAAAATAGAAGACATTTATTCCCAAATCCAGACTTGCTGAATCGAAAATAGGCAAGCCCAATTTGACTCACAGACTATGCCACCCAATTTAACTCACAAACTCAGTTTCTATCTCTACACCTGAGATATGCAGACATTTCTATGTCAATTTGTAGCATTTCCCGAAAGGATGCATCAAGGTTCAATTAAATATTTCATAGAAACTTTATACGCATATCGTAATATCAGGTGGTATACGTCACCCAGTTACCTTTTCCTTGGTTAAATTGGGTAGCATATGAAAACAAGTATTCTATTTCGGCTTACCATGATCATCTTCCTCAAAGTCAAAAACCATCACAAGACTAAATTTCTTATCTGATGAAGATATGAGCAAGTGACATACATTTAAAAAAACAAAACACCTTCTCAATATTGCGCTTTATAGGCTTCTTTAACTCCTATAAATGATGACACGCTTTGTTAACAAAACCTTTAAATCTTGCAAGGAAGAACATATTTGATCATTTCCTAAAGTTCCTTACAGTAATATGGGACAAATTATTCCATTGGGATTCTAATCCAAATGGATGGAAAGTGGCCTGTGGTTCCAAGCTGCCTCCAGATAAAGTACTGCTTGTTCTTGTTGATTGCGATCTTGTAAGAAGAAATATTCTAAATAAAAAAGGATAATCGTGATAAGCCAAAATCTAAATGAGCATGTTTCATCTAATATTAGCAAGAGAAACAATCAATTTCAACAGGGAACAAGTTGCAAAAGCTAGTGTTAAACTATATATCATTGGCATATAGAATGGGAACCAAGCATATCTGCTAGTCTGTGTTTCTATTCCAATGTGAGAAGGAAACAGCAAAATGAAACTCATATAAGCTGACCAAAAATAATTTGATCAATATTGGAAATTTACCTCTTTTTTCCTTTTCCCCTTGGCCGTGACATCATCTTGAAAGTAACTAATCTTAACCTCAAGGCAACTAATCTTTCCATCCGTCCTTGTTAATCCGTCTTGAGGCGAGGCCTTTCGATGAAACACTTGGAGTTAAAGGCATTGAGGGTGTTGTGGGTGCCTCCTCATCGTCCCAACTGTCACCCCAACTATTGTCCCATTCATGGTTCAAGTTTGGTTCTGTCTTGCTCACACCTGAAACTGGCAGCTCCATGTCTAGCTTTTGATATTTAGAGCCACTGCTGGCAAAATACCTCCGGCGGAAGCTGACACACAGCCAAGCTGATGCCATCACCAGTGCAGCCAAAAATATGAATGCAGCAGCAGGAGTTCGCTGAAGGAGGTTGATGTATGTGGACTTAGAGGTATAGTCGGTTTCTTTCATAGAATTGTGGGGAATCAGATTTCTGAAGTCGAGACTGCAATTACCATTTCCAGTTTCTAGAACAATCAAGTTGTCAGTTCCATCCCTTGTGATAGAAACCTTCACCACCTGCATAATATGGATTCCAGTCAAAACCCACTTATGCAGGTTTAAAAATATGACGACTCATGTAAGCATCCACATCAATACAGGCTAACAAAATCAGAGAGAAGCCCATTAAATTGGAAGTAATCGAAATGCGTATTCATGAGTCCTGTTAATGCTTTTGAGCAACATTATTGTAGAAGTAATGTGGGCCATGGATTTGACTGTTGCATTAGTTTGTCTGCCAATCCCTAAGCTTCATATATATCATCATGGGTTTGGAGAATCACCATTTCTAAAATTTGTCATTTCCGTCTATTATAAACACCCACAATTGATCTAGATGGGTTCCACATCAATGGTTGGATTTGACAGGAATGGATACAAAAAAGAGACACTCCAAATTCTTTAATCATTTAAATGCTATTTTACTATATCTGGAGTAAGCAACAAGAACATTTTCTAAAATTATGTTGCGCCGACTCATGTATTTATATTGGGTATCAATACATGTCAAAATCACTAAATCTTGTGACAGTTACAGTGAGAGTCCTAAAATTGGGTATATATACGTTGACATACTAAAAACACCCACATACATGTCGCATGTTATATAATAGTAGCATTGGAATTTATTTTACAAATACAAAAATATGTTGAGGAGGAATATAGAAAATCATAATTTTTTATAAGAATAAAAGAATATTGAAAAGGGCATTGAGAGCTAGTCCGATGATACATAATAAGTTTGGGAAAGAATAACATATTTTAGAAGGATTTATCATATTATATCGACTTCAATTCATAATACATAACCGCTTCTCTTGCAACCAGGATGAGAAATCCCTGGGAGCTCCAACAGATGCTCTCCTCATCATCATCTTTTTCCTCTATCGGAAACTGCTTCTATAAAACTTTTGATTTTGGTGATTATTGACCTCTTCTTCATCAAGTATGGTTACTTATGTTGGACTCATATCCTGTACTATAACAATATTATTCATATCGATACAGGTACCTTGGGATAAACAGGCAGTCTGAGTAACATAGATACAAGTCAAAAATCTTAAGTTGGTAAAGTAAAGGCTTAGAGGCGTAAACAAAGGCTTCAAGGGTCTTGGATGTGCAATGTGCAAACAGAACATTCAGAATAATGAAGTTACGGACTACCTGGTTACTGCCTCCTGGGTAGCGTAAGTGTTACTAACCAACCTACAAAAGAAAAGCTTGCTTCTCTTCTTTGGGAAGCCCATATTTATGGTCCTAGATAATCATACGTGCACTGCAGATTATAAAAAGTAAGGCACTGTTTTTTATTTGGCTGTTGAGTTTCAGTATCGATACATAAAAAGCAATCTGCTAGACTGTAGGGAACTGATACAACCAGAACAACATAAGCAGCACATGAAAAACTAAATTCAACCCAACAAGGCCATGTCCCATGAGAAAACTTTTACCGTAATTTGTTTTAAAACAGACCATAAACTCTTGCTTTTGACTAGCCTAATTAAATATATTATAGCCATAGATAACATTATGTAGCACTTTAGGTACAAAAAAGTAAGATAAATTTTGGCTACTGAGTTCAGTGTAGATACACAAAAAAAAAAAAAAAAAAGAAGAGAGAGTCTGTATAACTGACAGACACCAAAACAATATAAGAATGATATGTAAAACTGAATTCAACCCAACAGACTCGTATCCTATGAGGTGATAATGTAAGGAAATCATTAATAGAAAAGGAAAAGAAGAATCATCAACATACTTAGATTATTTTGAACAGGCTTTGAACTCATTCTTCCTTCTTTAATGCCTTGTTTGATAGGAAGAAGGAAGAGGGGAGGAGGTAAGAAAGGAAAGATAAAGCACATCTCCATTGTTTGGTACAAGGAAGAGTTGAAGGGAAGGATGGATGGATGAGGCATCTTCTTGACCCACCATTCTTCATCTGTCCAAATTGGGACAGAACAGAGGAGAGAAAAGAAGAATAATTATAGTATACACCATAAAGTGACATTCTTACCCTTCAATGTTTTAATTGACTTATGCAATAACTTAAATAACGAAGGTGTAATAGTAAAAAATACATAAAACCCTTCAATGTTTTAATTGACTTATGTATTAACTTAAATAATGAAGGTGTAGTGGTAAAAAATATATAAAACTTCTCATTTCTTTTCCTCCTACCAAACAATAGAAAGTATCAACTCCTCTTCCCTTACACTAACACCTTCCTTTCCCTAAAAATGCCTTTAACCATCCTTCCTACCATCCATTTTCCCATAATTTTTACCAAACAAAACAAAAAAGTAAAATTAACCACTCATTTCAGGGTGCTCTTTCTTGACCTAAAAACATCTACAACATTCACAAAAAGCTACAACAGAAAAACAGGGCCTATGACTAATCCAAGATCATTTAAGTTTGATAGTGCTCTTTCATGACCTCAAAACAACTACAACGTTCACAAAAAGCTACAACTGAAAAATAGGGCCCTGACTAATCCAATATCATTTTAAGTTTGAAACTGACTTGATTTCTGTCCAATAGGCTTTCCACTTAATTGAGAGCAAGCTGCATGTGCTCCAACAAGATATGTGACATTTATTCTTTCTTAGAATTTATTTTTATTTATCTATTTAATTTTCTTTTAAAAAAAGAATAAAGCAAAGACATAGAACCATGGGAGCGGGGAGGGATGTTTGTACCATTGAACCCCCACTATTTTGAGAATTGTTGTACCACTGAACCCCCACTATTTTGAGAATTAGCAGAAATCATTCCATCCCCAGTAACTAAATCTAATCCCTCCTGAAGGGGATAAATGTCACATATTTTGACTAACTAAGGCAGAGTTAAGACGGCTAGACCTGATATTTTTTCTAATTCAGAAACATCATGAAAGTTTTTTTCTTTTTTGATAAGTAACATCATGAAAGTTTTTGAAGGATGGCCTCTTCTATTGCAGAATAGTAATTAATTATCAGATTTTATTATAGGGCTTATTTTATCTGTTCCACAAACGCAACGAACCCAAGAAACAACCACGAAACACAACAAAATAAACACGCCACATGCAAATAACACAAAGATTTATCATGCTTCAACACAAGTCGTGTCTACGTCCACGGTGAAGATCCGGGCCTCCGGCAAAAGATTTCACAATGCAAAAGTCAAGAGATTACAAGTTTCAACCTCCCAAACCCTAGCTCTCGCTCTCACTCTCTTTTTGCGATTGTCAGTGTCTCAATCTCCGACTCTAAACCCTAAACGTTGTTATATATCGGGCTACAAGAGAGTACTAAACAAGGTACACGACCCGCCACAAAAGCTCAATTAATGGGTTGTCAAGTCGAAAACGGGCCACAGTGTGACTTAGAACCAAATTCGGGCCACAACATTACAGTATCTTAGCCAAAAATGCACATATATTGGTGAAAATGCAATGTCCAAAACAATAAGAAATTCTTATACTAGGAAAACAAACATGCATAAAAGGGCAAAGAATCCATGTCAGACATCGACACGCGCTGGACACACCCCGAAACGTGTCGGACACTCCAAAAATGTGACTTGTTTTTTATTTATATTTTTTGAATATTCGGACATAGCGTAGACACGCCATGGATATGTGTCCGACACTCATGTCCCATTCTTGGGGAATTTTTTTTTTTTTGTATTTTAAAGTAAGGCATTCTTGGGAAACTTTATGAAAGTTTTAAAAAGAAAGTTGGGTTTAAGTGTAAATATGAGTTGTTTAATACTTCATAACTCTCAATAATATGATCATCATTACATACTTAAAAAATTTTGTTTTATAAAACAATTTTATATTAAAACAATTAGATATTTATGCTTATATTTTAGTTCAAAGGTTCAAACTCTTGCACAATCATCTTTGACTCTCTCTTGTTCTCCCACCGACCAAGATTCACTTGGATGGTCTCTCTATCTCCTTTTATGGGTTCCTTTGAAGAGATTAGCTCCTTCTTGTACTTTCTTTCTCTTGTACAGATTCATTTAATAAAAGGAGATAAATGTAACTAACAGAGAGAAAGTCATTAATAACTACTAAAGCTGAACACATATGAAAAGATTTATGCAAGGAAAAACTTCTAAACCCAAAAAGAAAAGGAAATAAATGCAGGTAAAACTGAAAAGTCCTTTTTTATTTCTTTTTTGATAAGATAAAACTGAAAAGTTCATACCATCATATTTAAGGTCATTTAACACTTAACAGTCCATGATCTTATGCAATCAAGAATAATCTACAGGGCATTATGTTGGCCTTAAAACTGGCAGGCAAAACTAGCCATGATGACTAGCACATAATTACACTTTCAAACTACTGTATAACATTGTTTATATAAATGTACCTTTTTATCTTCTTTCTCTTGGAGTTGAATTTTTGTTTTCTCTACCCGAACAAAATCAGGAGCAGAAATTGTAACAGTGAGAGGGCCTTTTCCCGTGTTCTGAATGAAAAGTGAAAGATCTGGAGATTCTGGAAGATTGCAAGCCAATATCCATTGTAATAATAATAACAATAACAATAATAATTATAGGGAGAAAAAAAAAAAAAAAAGAGGAGGAAGTTGAACATAATCCAGTATAATATGTCTAGGCACAAGTCACCAAATAAAACACTTTTATCATCATGCTCTTTCATATTGTAAATAACCGTCAATATGGACCAGTCTGATTTAGATGTCAATGAGGCATCTGACAACTCTTTACGGCCCAAAATATCACCTGGTTGCATCTAATCTATTATCCATTTCTTACTGAACCCTATCCCCATTTACTCAACAGATATATATGATTTATGAAACAAGGTAAGAAATTGTTCAATCATTTAATAATTTACATATGACGTCTGAAACTATTATTGGTTTGACTCTAGAAAGCCTTCCAATGTAATGTAAAATATTGGATTTTTTATTAGAGGGTGATCTTCACAATATTGGATTTTTTATTTCTTCTCCCGCCCCCTTCCGTGTGGTGTGGAGGTTACCAAAAATTTGACCAAACTTTTACCAGAGGTTCAACAGGCAAACCTCAAGGGAAGTCAATGTAATTTTCCCTAAGATTTATATAACTACACCCAAACTGAAGGGAGATACGGGCATTCTTGAATTGAGCTAAGTTGGAACAAATTAATGAAAATTTGAATTGAACTAAGTTGGAACAAATTAATGAAAAAAATAAAGCTAGTTTATAAGAGTAAGACTTTAAGTGCCCAAAGAAGTAAACATCACAGTGTCTCAATCAAACAAATGTGGTAAACTTGGATGAGAATGACAAGCAATAAATTCACAACAAATATAATTTGAGGACGCAAACACATACCATCTCCCGGTACTCTTAAACATGCAACCACTGTTTTATTCTCATCTGTGCAACTATTAGATGGATCACATTCTTCGCCACGAGAACTCTTCTTCCCCACCGGCAGTGATATCCCCTCGTCGTGTACTTTTCTAGATTCTGATCCTTTACCCAAATTCCCTTTCTTCTCACCCTCATTCACTGAACCATCCTTATCCGTCCGCACTTTGTCGTCGTCTTTCAACCCCAACTCTTCACTTGAGTTGCTGCTACTCAAATTACTACTCTCAACACCCTTTTTCGATCCACCCATTAGATCTTGACCCTTCTTTTCTTGGGCAAACTTGTTAGGATTTCCAACTGAGTTCAATCCACCCATAGTCTCATTGGAATTACTTTTTTCGGTTGAAGTAAAGGGACTTTGCGGATCTAAGCCAGTGCTTTCAGTTCCTTTTACCTAAATTCAATATCAAAACTTAATTGAAGCACAACACTGATTTAATAAATCAACTACTCAGACTACATTAAATTTATCATTCTTTATGTACCTCTAAACCAGTACGAGCACATTCAATGACGATTAGGGTCATAAAGAGAGTGAGCAGAAGAATATTAGTACTAGTCCCCATATTTAGATATGCATCAACTCGCGTCACATTACATGAGAAACCTAATTGCACAGAATTGAAACAAAAGCAAAAGTTAATTACAGAAGAGTGTGGTTTATTTATGTGCGTATGAAACAATGTTTTATGTGACTTACCAACCTCGAAATCGACGGCTATGAAATACACCTATTTTTGCAGCTCACTTTGTTAACCTGTAGATACGAGTACACAAAGTCCAGTTCTGATCAGAACAAAGTGAGCTGATAGAAGAGGTTAGGAAGATGGGAGTATAAATCTAGGGTTTTAACATCGAACAGAAAAGCTTAAGTCTGTTCGTATCTGCGTCTTATATGTTCGTAGAGAGAGAGAGACGGACCGCGCGAGAGAGGGGGAGCGGAGAGATCTGTGTTGACTAAAGTGGTCTACTGGGGTGGATGTCCTTCTAACACCTTAAATGACTAAAAGCACCCTGAACAATGAAGAAGTTACTCATGATGTTTTAACCGGCTGATAGACCATTTTTTAAAAAAAAATTATTATTATTATTATTATTATTTTTTTTTTACCAAAACATAATTTACGTCACTTAACACTCCTAAACAAAGTTGATGTATATACATACACCAGTAAAAATGTACAAATTAATATTTAATAAAGTAATTAAATAGTAGATGCTTCGAACTGTCAGATAAATTTTGAAATATGAGGTTTCGATTCTATGTATCTATTAATCTAATTTCTAACAGTTTTTACCTTATAAAAAAATATATAATTAAATAATTGTAAATTAAAAAATATTCATGAATATAAAATTGACACGAGTAAAAGAGATAAAAATACAAATTTTAATTGAACTTTACAATAGTAATTCAATTATTGATAGGTGTATTTTCAAACTACTAAAATAATATTAAAATCAAGACTATTTTTTATTACATTCTACTAATATTTTATTTATTTATGTATTAGAAAATTATTTATATATTGTTTATAAAATTAGAAAAGATGTGAAGACTAAATTATTTATGTTTTTATATATATATATATTTCCTTGTTTAATGAGAAAGACTAAATTATTTATTTTCTTTATACATTTTCTTATCTAATTATATTTTCTTTTATTAAAAAAAACTCAAAATAAATAGGTAATTTGAGTTTTAAAAACTCTTCTCAACACGTTATATTATTTATTTATTTTTTATATATTTCCTTGTCTAATTGGTCATCTTCAAAAAAAAAAAAAATCAAAATTAGTTTTTCCATCAAATCAGCAAAGATCAAGCAAAATTGAAAAAGATATCAAACCAAATTGAAAAGCACATAAAGTCAAAAATATTAAGCTAAATTAGAAAGCATATAATTCCAAATTAGAAAGCAACAAGATTCTAAGAAGATTTTATTTTATTTTTACTCTTGTAATTAGAATTTTTCCCTCACAATCATTTAATTATAAACTCTGTAAATAGGGACATATGTAGAGGAGGTGAAATGTACAAAAAGTTAGGGAGATAAAATAATAAAAGTTGGGAATTTTTGTCATATAATTTATTTTGTGCATTTTTTATTTTATGTTTTATTTTCTTGAATATTACTATAGCTTAAACACCCTTTCCCAAGGGATCTAAGAAATATAAGTAAATTTAGTTTATTTATTTTGTGAAATTTTTTCTTGAGAGCATTAATTTTATTCTTCTATTATAATATTTTTATGTGAAAAATATAAAGGAAGGATTTTTTGAAGAATGTTTACTTCAATTTACATTTTTTTTAGCAAAGTTAAAACAAATTAGATAATAAGTGTTATCTCATACAAGTAACTGTTATATAATGTCATATTTTCCTTCATCTTTCCAAGTTGTAATTGGTCCGGTGAAATAAATTTATTTATATTAAGCCACGGTGGTGGATTATTTCTTTTGAGATTTTTCCTATTATTTGATCATAAATTATTTACTCTTATTCATTTATTTTGTTTTTAGTTAATTATTCAATAATCATCAAATTGTTTTAAAAGTTATTATTCCATCCTTAAATTTTGGTTTTGATTTTGAGTTCACGAATTCAAATCTTGAATGTGTGGTTCGACCCTGATTATCACTATTTAATTTTTAATTTAATCTTTGTAGGTTTTTTTTTTTTTTTTTTTCTTTGCATGAAATGTAGAAAAGCAAACACAGAATCCATTCGTCATTTATAGAAACTCTTATAAACACCTTATATTAAATTTTAAATAAAAATAGATAATAAATAGATAATTTGTGATATTCAAAAAGGAAACATACATAAAAAATAAATTTATTACAACATATAAATTTATTATTAAAAAATAATGTACCGAAACTCTTTGTAATTTTAATAATAAGTGTGTATATATATAATAAACACCCCATTTTCGAAAGAAATAAAAGAACAAAATGAGTATATAAGTATTATTTTATGTCACTTTTTTGAAAAAATTAATTTAAAGGTATTTTCACTCATTTTTACAAAAATAAGGGACATATAACACTTTATATATATATATATATAAATAAATAAATAAGTCAAAGGACCAGAGTATGTACTGTTGATGTGTTTTGTACTTCGGGTCAGGCTAGGGCTTGCATGCAGTTGTAATTGTAATTCGGGTCAGGCTAGGGCTTAGAAGTTCATTTCAGCCCAAACACAGACCGGTGACTAAGCCCAAAATCTTTTGGTCTAAAGGTCTTGATATTATTACATCAGCCCAGTTTACAATTATATTCTTTTTCTTTCTGGGTTTAATAAACTCAAATTTTTTAAACATTTTTTTTATTATTATTGTTTATTTTTATTTTTTTTTTGACACTTTTGGGATCTGGGAAATGTTTCGAGAAACAGAAAAAAGTAATACGAATTAAAAAAATTTGACCGGACTATTACATGTAAGGACTCTAAAAGTATATGAAACAAATAATAAAATTTTTGCACATATTGTTCATTCTAAAAAAAATTGTTTATGCTTAATGATTACATTAAAGTAGCTTCATTCTGGTCATTTTACTTGAATTTAAGAGCATGGAATATATTAAAGTTGCACTGTTGGCTAATAATAAAGTGTTATGTTTGTTGGCTGTGAAAAGTATGGTTCCAAAGTTTGATGGGATAATATAGAAGTATATATATATATATTTAGTGCTTCTGAACCCTAGACCATTCAATTCTAAACTTTGGCTATATCTATTGCTGCCTTTTACAATGTCTTAGGCCTATGGTAATTTCCAATGAAGCTATATCTATTTGCTTTTAACCCAAGGTGAAAATAAGAAAAGCATGTGAAAGATGAATGGGCCAATGAACTTTGTTTTGTGATTACCACAGCTTATGAAACCCTAGTTGGTTTTGAGTCCTGGCCCATCATTCTCACAGAGTCACAGACTCACAGGCCCTTGTTTCTGGACAAAGTTTCCTGTTCCCAATGATGTCAGCATCTGAATGATGGGCCAGCCTCGTCCATTTTTATTTTTTATTTTTTTTCTTTAATTTTTTGTTTTTATACATATATATATATATATATATATATATATATATGTATGTATATATGTATATTTTATATATTTTATTAAATGGGTATTCTAACTCTTTCTCTGAAAAACAGTCTGGACATTTGACCGAGTCGTAATGGCACATACTAATTTTAGTCTACTAAAATCCCGCAAAACTTATTTTCAAGTAAAAAAAAAAAAATCAAACTTAGTAGATTCGTCTGATCAGATCAGATCTTGTCTGGAGAAACAATTTTACTTTAACCACCTTTATATGATATTCATTTTCCTTCAATAATGGGTAGAATCTTGGTTAAATGCTTCAAAATATTGGTTGATTTGGTAGCTATTACATCTAATCAGCTCGAATCATTAAATATATATGTAGACTAAACTAGGTAGTAGTGTTGGTTTCCCTCCGTCCAAGGAAAGCCTAACCCCTATTTCAATAATAGAGATATATATAAAAAAACCTCAGTGGTTAACAGGCAACGAAGGAGACTAGTTCTAAAGACAAGGGTCTATCAAGAGAGTCTAATACATCACATTTCTCATTAAATGAACTAAAGTCACATGACCACAACAGAAAGCCTTGGAAGTGGAACTGTGTCACACTCCCAAGGTTATCTAGGTGGACTTAAATAAGTTAGGTCATTTTTAGTAGTAGAAATGAGAATGGTAATGACAAAACTAGCATGGGACACAAGATGTCTTCGTGGTTCTCTCCATGGGAACCCAAATTTATTGCAGTGTGAAATGAGTTTAAAATTGTCAAATATAGGAGGCGTGAAGGACAACTAATGAAATAAGGACACGTGTCTAAAGTGGTGTTATTAAAAAATTATTAAATGATTTCGTATCATTTGACATATAATTGACTAGTTCAATGAAGACCGTTGTTAGAATTTCTTTACTATATGTTAATACATTTTTATGGGGTTAATTTTTCAATCGAAGAGTCTGAATTGAATTGGTCCATCAAGTATTAATGGTTCATAATTATATAATAATTTCTCCATTAATATCGAATTGTTTCTACCATGCCTCTCAAATATCTAAATACATACTAACTAGAACTAGGAGTAGTGGTTATCCACTAGCATAAAGGATATCACAAAGAGAGTGAGTTCAAATGTGCCGACAGCTATACTCAATGTATTATTACTATTATTATTTTTTTAGTTGGTACTTACATATAAATATGCCTCCATTGAAACTTGAATTTTTAACCTTTCTTTGAAATGCTCCATTGAGGTTCGAACCCTGAACTCTCTTTGGAAGGTAAGAGTTTGGTACCGCTAGGCTATTAGTTTGTTAGTTGTAATACTCAATGTTGCTACCTAATTACAAACTTTGAGTCTTTCCTTACAACAATCCCAATATACTTCTTTCTTGGCCCCTCTAAACCGAGTAGGTATTGGTTGTGTCCCGCACACCATATCATTAATATATTCATTTAATTAAATATAACATATTGTGTCATCATGAACAATTTTATAAGTAAGTGGATTTATTTTTATTTTTTTGAAATGGGTTCCAGCAGAGACAGAGACCATTGGGATTCAAACCCATCCCATACATCCAATTTGGGAAGTATAGGCCAACCTAGGTCAGGTACACTCCCACTTCAAGGGCCACCAAAATAAACTAAAGGTTCAGTGAATCATGTTTTAGTAACCAAGCATTTGATATTCACTCAAAACATGGCACATGATATTTAAAGTGACCATGATCATGCCGGTTTACTCTATAAGAAGGAAGGGTCACACCTTTGACCTTTGTGATGTGATTATGTGAACAATAATGCAACTTAAGGGCCTAGATTGTTCCTTCAATGACTGAATGCCACGTACACATGTGTACAGCTGGCACTAGCATAGAAGTCAACTTACCCGAATTTTAGGGTTTGAAAAGACTATAACA